CCCAAAAAAAACAACAACCCCAAACCAAAACAACAAACACCCCTCCCACCCCCAACCCAGCCCCATCACTCCAAACCCTAAGACAGAGGAACATCAAGCTGCCACAGTTGAGGAACTTACAGTGGTGCTGCTGTTGCTGCTACGGCGTAGGTTTGAACCCCCAGTCGGAGTTATTCCTGAGCCTTGTGACCTCAGATTACTGTTGGTAGCGGTCCGTGCAGAGCGACCTGACACAGGGCTGGATGTGCTCGACCTGGGAAAAATACACAACACGCCTGTGATACAGATAACATACATACACATGACACAGCTGTTAGGCAGCACACAGATGCAGCACTTCTGTGACATAAAAGACCTATGCACAACACAGTAACGGTACAAACAACACTAACTTACATATAACTCACAAAACATACACATGTGTCAGTTACATACGTATCACATAAAACAACCAAATTCTGCCGTCTCTAAAGGCAGAGCAATGTAACTGCACATTCCATGATTTTGAGAAAGGTGTGGAAAAACAAGACATGATTATCAGGACCTCAAGAAATGCAATCTGAGTTTGATAAAATCAGAAAGGCTGGCAAGTCTACGGCAATAACCACAGCTAACTGACACACTAAAGGGTTACCTGTCTCCTGCGACCTTTGCCCTCCGCACCGCCTGATTCTGTGGGGCGGAGCGGTCTGGCCCGTTGGCCCGCGGAACCGAGGACTTGTTGCCCGCGGTGGGTTTGGCCAAGTGTGAGGTGTTGGCCCCCGAGGACGGACCGGTGGGCTTGGCGATGTGGGACTGTGACCCACTGGGGCTGCTGGGTTTGGCCAGGTGGGAGATAGAGTTACGTGGGGACGGGGAAGGGGAGACTGACGGGGTCGTGGATGCGCTAGACTGGCGTGAGTTCTCCGACAGGCCACTGCAAGAAAACAAAGAGGAACCAAGGGACAGTCTAGAGGAATGCCGTAAGTCATTAAGTAAGGAATTTCTGGAGTGTAACAGATACTGTTTGTGCATTACATTGTAGATGTACTCTGGCACTAAAATCTATTAATACTTCTTTATAGAGATACTAAAGGGTAATTTTTATAAACTTTTGAGAAAATATGCGAATATTCACAATTACATTAAACACATAAAGTTGTATTTGGAAGGATTACTTCATAGCGAATTGTGCGCCAGATGGATTAAGTTGTAAAAATTACAGCTTTTTATATGCGCAGATACCATCTTTTCTGAGTATGTACACCAGTGTTATGTCTTTCTTTTTCCAAAAGTTCGACAGTTTTTGTTGTGCCGACTTTTTTATATTGATTTTTTTCATTCATGCTTGTCCCAAAAAAATTTATAATTTAGCATTGCCGACTTCAGCGCGTCTAACGAAATAACCAGACAAGACGACATGTCCGTTCTTTTTTGAGTCTCAAGAACTTTCCACCTTTCTCTATCCTGGGCGGATGTTATTCCACGTCTTCTCACTTTTCTGTAAATCAATTTTTCTCCAGGTTCCATGTGGCATTCCCACTGATCTCACCCTGCATAGAACCAGTTTCTGCCTTTTGTACACATCTAGAGACACAATTTAGATCATTTACCAGGCTAGCTTCAACACTGCCTGTCAGGATCAATTCAAGTTGAGAGGGATACTATGCCCCACAAGAAAGACATTCTCATTCTCAACAAAAATTCTCCCCACACCAGTCTTCCTCATGCTATGCTGGAGCACATAATCGCTATACCACTGATGGTGGTTGTTTCCGCTATAAAATGGTCAATAAATGATACCATGTACAGCAGTCTACCACAAGGGTATCTCATAGCTTCTGCACAGATGACTCCAGGCACGGGCAAGTGTGTCCAAGTTGTGAGGGTATCTCATAGCTTCTGCACAGATGACTCCAGGCATGGGCAAGTGTGTCCAAGTTGTGAGCCAGGATTAAGCGATTCTGAATGTCTCACGAGCCAAAGCAGGGAAAATATGAGTGAAGTCAATTTAAATACCCCATCTCTCAAAACTGAGTTAAAAACTTAACTGTTTCGTTTTTATTACTTATTTTACTTTTACACCCACTGTTGCCATTGAGCATCAAGCGTAGATGCAGCTTTTCAAGGAAAGCCAACTATGTAACTCCTTCAATCTGGACATTAGTTTTTCAGGGTTCCCTTGATTCCTTCAATCCATCTTTTGCATGGCCAACCTCTTCATTTACAGCCACAGTTTTTATTTTTCTATTTTTTAAATCAATCAACCTAAGGCATTCATTATTATTTACTAGGTCGTCTTGCAGGCTGGACTAAAACTGCTCGTGGGCCATAGATTGCCCTTGTCCGCGGTAAAGATATGGGGAAAAAGCAGTGACTTCAAATGTCTAGAAAATGTCTGCCTGAAGTCATGACAGGAAAGTGATCCACCCATATCTTGCAGGCAGAAAAATGAACATGTCTGTGAAAATGGTGAAATGGTATTGGTTTAACTCCCTTATCAACACTAATAGATATTTAAGAGTTCAACGTCCATCTCCGAAAGGACCAAGCCAAATAGAAATTTCAGGTAAAGCGCCTTTCCCAACGACACAGCGTCCGACGGAACAGAGGCTCCAACCCCCAAACCCGCAATCTCACAATTACAGGCCTGGTACCTTAACCACTAGATTACCAACACAACGAACATGTCTGTATGTCACAGGGAGTAAATGACAAATAGACATCTTGCACGTCTGTTGAGGGGAGTAAATGACAAATAGACATCTTGCACAACGTCTGTTGAGGGGCAAAAAGTGTTTAAAAAATCTAGCAAAAGAGTCACATGTCATGGGCAGCATGTGACCAACACACGTGTTGCAGCGTTGTCTAACAAACCAAACACTGTGACTGCAGGCCACACGGCAGTCGTGAAGGAGCTACCTGGACATGCATGTGTCCGGGTGTGGTTGAGTGCGTGAGAGAAACACTACAGTTATTGTGCACAGCAAAGTGTATCAACCAGACATCTGTGTGTGATGAAAAGAAGGGACAAAGGAAAGAGGGAGAGTAAAAGAGGAAGAACAAGAAGAAGACGCCAGTTGAGTGATAAATTGGTCTGAGTGTGTATGTAAGAGTGTATGTGCAACCTCACACATTTGTGTGTGTGTGTGTGTGTGTGTGTGTGTGTGTGTGTGTGTGTGTGTGTGT